CGGGGCCAGTGCCAGGTTCGGGCCGTGGGTGCCCTCGCAAAGGGGCGCCCGGTGTCTCTGGGTTATCGCGGCGCGCTCAGACGCTGACACCCGACAGGAACCCCGACACCACCCCTGTGTCTGGGGGGACGGCGGGAACCTCCTGCCTACGTGTACCTGCCGTGTGTGGCGTTGCCCCGAAGTCCTCTGCCAGCCCCAGCAGCCACCAACGGGCACTAAACGCACTTTTATGTAAACCAAGGTGCTGTACGTTTCCCTTTCCGCCAGAGACTCCCTTGCAGGCAGGTGCAACCAACACAGGTGATGCTTTGTGGGTCCAGCGGGCAGCCCGGCACGGGAGGGGGAGCTGGAGGGGAGCAGACGATGAGCAGCAGCTCATGGTGGTGTTTGCTGAGGATGGACACGCACCCAGTGGAGCAGGCGCTGATGGCATTTCGCTGCCTGGCAGCGGTGCTTCGTCCTGAGGACCCACCTTCACACAGGTGGCCACGGGCCACTAGCCCCAGCTCAGTTCCACAGGCATGCTCTTGGACCTGGTGGCCCCAGCTGCACAGCCAGCTCTGACACCTGGCCCCAGGGCGTGCCAGGGTGTTGCTGCCCCTGGCTCTGCGGGGATGTGCCACTGTGTCCATCCTGACGCGTGTCCCCCTCCTTGCAGCACCTCGTGTCATAGGGACATCATCACCCTGCCAGCAGCTAGGCCCCATCTCCTCTGCCCCGCGTCTGCCCTGGGCACAGAGACACCACTCGCTTTCCCAGGAGTTCTGTCCCCTGCAGACCCTGACAGCTGCCTGTCCCTTTGGGTGACAGTGCCAACCCCAAGAGCACCTGTTCCCACCTCTGTGCACCCCCAAAGCTCAGGCATACGGTTTCCACTGTTAATGTAAATAATGAACTCCAGCCGAGCCTGGGTGCCCAGCCCACATCCTCGCAGACCATGATGCGCTGGGAACACCATGTCTCGGTGCACCCTGACCCACGGGTGCCCACGCTCCCACTGCCCCCGTGCTCCCAGGCTGCCCTGCACCCCACCAGGCGCTGCTGCCCTGGGGAGACACCTTTGCTCACTAAACCTGCAGAAAAGGTCCCAGCAAAGGCGATGTCAGCAGCACCCCTGATCACTGTCCTCAGCACAGCTTCCCTGGGGTGGTGAGCACCCACTAAATACCAGGGCCCTGCCCGGGTGAGGAGGGGTGCAGTGGGCAGGGGTGATACCCATAAAGCACTTTGTTACGCTTTACAGATGCTGTAACCATGGAGCTACAGGAAAATGGACACATGGCACATCCCATCACAGGCACAGCAGTCTGCCAGCCATTGTAAAAACACCATCAGGGTTGGGGTGAGGATGGGTGGTTGTTTCACCTCTGGTGATAGGGTGAGTCAGGCATCTCCATTGTGCACCCTGCCTTGGTGGCCCCAGCATGGGTGCAGTGTCAGGTGTAAGGGTTGTCACCCTCCCTCAGGCACTGCCATGGGACAGTGATCCATGAGGTCTATGAGGATGTGGCAGAGCTCCTCCTGTGCTGTCCTGCCCCATCTCTCTGCTAACACCCCACCACATTGGGCAACAGTGAGCAAGCAGGTTTTAACCTTTCAAAACTCCTCAGCTCATGAGTTCTCCCAGAACGGAGGTATGAACTCCATCAGGCATACGGGTGGCTGGGAAGGGGCTAGCACCCTGCTGTGAGCCGAAGAAACTCAACAGGAGTCTGGGGAGGCAGGGAACCTCTCAGGGACACTTACGGCTGCATTGCTGGCAGAAGCGTGTAGGCCAGGGTTGTTAGGGACTGCTTTGCAGGAGGCAGGCCAGAGCTGGGCTGCAAATGGGATTTTGTGGGACAGAAACATGCCTTGCTGGCAAACCCTCCCAAAACAGGCTGGGGCCCTGCAACTGCATCCTGGAACTGCGGGGATACAGAATTAAAGCGCACATCCTCAGCATGGATGAATTCCCCTTTCCTCCTGCAGACACTGTTTTTTTACCATCTCTGTTCCTCCAAGGAAATGCACTAGTTTTATAACATACACTATAAAACCTGCTCTGGAAACGTGAGCCAGAGATGCTTTACTTGCCACTGGCGTGTGTTGGAAGGGTGAAAGGGCTGGGTGGGAATTTAATGTGTACTTGTTTAAATGTGGTGATAAAATCTCTTCCTGCTGCCTTTCAGAGTGACCTGGCTTCCCTCCTACTGCAGAGGTGACACCAGATCAAGCTAAGCTATCGGAAAGTTCAGGTACAAAAGCCCAAATTCATGGCCGCAAATTCAAACCTTGACTCTAAGGCCTTGAAGGCAGGGGGCACCCCTGTGTCTGTGCACCTCCTGGCACAGCAGTCCCCAGGGGCCTCATGGAGCAAGGGAGGCCCAGGGATAAAAGAGCTACTCCCAAATGTGGCACCCAACAGCAGCCCAGGACAGAAACATGCCTGTGAATTAATACTTACTCTTTTCAGACAATACAAGTTGAATTTAAAATGCTCCACCGCTAGCAAATAGCTCTTCGCTCATGTCCAGTGATTATTTGGAGAGAATACAGTAATTTTATTTGGGAATTATATTTTTCTATTTATTTTATAAACTAGACTTAGGTCACACACATGTTTAGCCCTGGCTGTGTTCAGTAACATCAGAATTTTGTCTGAACAACAGTGCTGGAGTCTTCCCGGGGAGTGTCATGGCATGAGGATAACATCTTTTGACTTGTGCCTCATACCACCCGTCCTCACTAGGGAGAGCTGTGTTGCTTCTCTTGCACAGTTTAAATTGACAAAAGGAACTCCAGAAGTTCACTGATATGGGTGTTGTATTTGGGGCTTAATAGCCTGTTGTTTATTTTTGGTTTTAGAAGAAATATCTGTCACCATGAATCTGCCTGAGTTGAGCTTCATGTAAGTATCTGCAATTCCTTGCGGATGCCAAAATCTTCAGATAATTTATGGTAATATTTACCTAAAGGCAGGGATGGAAGATGAACACTTGATTTTATTTTTCTGTCTCTACACAACCTCCCTGCTTAGAAATTCCATTTTAGTTATGAAACTTTTATTCTTAATAATTGCCAAGCTCCTTTTACCTGGGCATTACTTTTATACTAATTTTCATGTCTGAGGTTTAGACCACAGTTGACAGGGTAATGTGCTGTTCCTGTTTATGGGCACTTTGCTTGCCAGAGATGTTAGAAATTGAAAAAATGTGTCCCTGAGAAAGGGATGCTGTCAGCTCATAAAAGCAAATACTAGATCTTCCATGCTTTTATTGTGGTCCAGCACATGAGACTGTTCACGAGGTCTTAATCTGCCAGCTTCTACTTGTTACACTGCTAGCATAAAAATTGCAAAAGTACTTCAAAGCCATGGGATATCATCTAGTTTGTATTAAAAGGGATCTGGTCAAAGGGATTTTACAAAACACAGTCTAAATATGGCCACCTCTGCTTTGAGAGAAGATAGATTTGAAATGGTCACTGTTTCAGCAGAAATATTTTAAGCTGAAACACTTGGAAGCATCTAACCCTCACCCCCAGTTTCCTCTGTCCCAGTTAAGATAACTTGGCTGCATGCAGCCAAAGGTGTGAGCCCTCAGCACCCTGCTCCACCAGCCCTCTCCCGCTGGGGCTGCTGTCTGTACCAGGGCCCAGAGACACACCGGGTCAATGCCTTCTCTCAGCATAGGTTTGATGGAGAACATCTTGTTAATGAACTTAAGTCTCTTGCTGTTTCAGCTGAATTCAGCCCAGAACTGACCTAAGATCAAGGCCATGTTTCAGACAAGGTAAGAGCATCCTAGTGTTTTCAATCCAGAGAATTTGTCGCAGTGGCAGCAGCACTATTTGGTGTTTTCTTAAGGGGTCACAATAACTGCCAAGATGACAGCATTTGGTGGGCCAGCAGCAAGGTTCAGAGAAGCTGCTCTGCAACCCTAGTGCATGTTAGTGCTGGGACTAACACAGCCTGGGGCAGACACAAACCCCCGGGCCCCCTGGACCTATGGGCAGGGCACTAAATCGGGCCCATCATCTCCCTGCAAAAACTTCAGTAAGCACCAGCCCAATTCCCAGATGTATCCTGGTGTTTCTGCTTCCAGGCATCATTTGAGGCTTCCCACAGGGACCCTAGCTCAGCTGCTGTGTTTGTGGGTTCAGAAATGGGCACAGGCATCATGGCACAGAGCTGGGGAGCCTGCTCTCTGCAGCACCGCTCTGCGTGCGGGACTGTGAGCACTGCCCTGTGGAGGCAGAAGCAGCTGGTTCCCCCTCCCACCCAAATTCCTCTGCTTTCATTACTTTTTTCTCCCAGTTCAATGACCACCGGCCTTTGTCTCGTGGTCTGGCAGAGCCTGGTGCCACACACACCAGAGAGACAAAGAAATACACTGACTTTTCTCCCTGAGCCTGCTATGAAGAGCCCACATTGTGTTTCTCTGGGAAGGGAGTCAGGCATAGGGCTGAAGTGTTTTGCTCAGCCTTGGGCTCTGTAAAACCCTGTTTCTTCAAACACATCAGCTCAAAGCTCTGGCAAGGAAGCAGTGACCCTGAGGAAAGGAGCCCCAGGGTTATACTCTCCTGTTCAAAGATCAGGACCATGAATTTTAAAATAATGGAAGCAGCATTTTGGGCAGCACTAAAAGCGCAGCCAGCTCACAGCCCCACACCCATGCCCAGACCTCCTGGACTTTCACAGGCTGGGTCAGTGACGACGCCGGCCAGGAAAGCAGTGTTTGCTAGGGGGTGAGCCTGGTCGAGGATCAGGGAAGTCGCCCAGAGCCACTCACTAGCAGAAGCAGGAAAGGCCAACGTTTCTGGGAGTCACACCTGATCATGATCCTCCTTCCCACCCAATCAGCCAGTGCAGCACATCATTCCAGGTCATTCCCTCTAAAATACAGAAGTCCGAATGATTTGGGGTGAAACGGACAGTAAGAATAAGCAGGAAAGAGAATTTCAAGACTGTTCAGGTTTTGATCTGCCAAATGCTGATTTTTCTGTTCTGTTTTAAGAAAAGGTCCCTTTCAAGAATGACATCAGAAAACAGTGTAATGAGGCCAAGCTAGGACCTTGTCTCTGACTAGAAATGGTGTGCTTTGATGCATTTCTTTGCTAATGACTGAGCTAAGAGATCTACCAGATCAAATTTGCATCAATGCTGAAAAATACTGTTGGTCTCCTCCTGGCAGAGAACCACATTTACAGCCAGCTCTTAAGTGAATACAAATATCCTTGGAAAAAATACCATATCAAGATTGTTGACAAACTATCTCCACACTAGAAACACCACTGACTAAAAGTGGTACCTCCTGTCCCTGCCAGTCCTACAAAACCACAGAAAACTGCTGCAGTTTGCAATGTCAAAAATTTCAGTGGTCAGGTCTATATTTAGAGTCAACATACTCAAGTTTAACATGGGAGAAACTAATTTTCCCCAAACCAGTGCTTGAAGCTGTTACAAAAGCTTTCAAGAGCTGATGTAAGCAAATGATCCATGTGCATGGATTTCTTTCACACTGGTATGTGAAAAACTGTTAAGTAACAAGGTAGGTGGTGTCTCAGTGATCACATCCATGGTAGCCTGGGGGAACATAGGAACTGCCACAGACTGTGTCTGCCCAGCAACCCTGTCTTGCCTCTTCAAAAGGACCCATCATCTTACCCCACAAGCATACACACAAGGCTCTTATACACTTCCCATTTCTCTGCAGGAGCTGACTGTGGTAATAAAATGATACCTTCGGGCCTTCCATCATGGGTCTAACCCATCTTCTTGATAACAGCACTGACCTGTTGGGAGTTGTGCTGAGTCTGAAATTCAATAAAGGCTTAAGACATAAAGCAATTATTGATCCTGTGCTGCAGTGAAAAAGGTGTAAATGGAAACATGCCACATCAGTAATAGCAGACAAGTTAAACTTTGGCTCATCTCATCTCATTCTTGGGAAATAACACGGCTAGACAAGGAAACGCAGTGAAAACCTGCTTTATTCAGCATGTTCTCCATGTTTATCAACCACCTACTTGTACTGTGCCACCAGGAGCAGTCTGGGTGAAAGATGCTGCTTACTGCTCTTGCTGCTTGTCACCTGCTCCCTTCCAGATCCCCTTTCCCTGCCAATCTGTCTGCTGGCCCCCAAAAAAGCATCACCTCTGTCAGGTCTGAGCATCTGCCTGCAAAGAAGTCTCTGGTGGAAAAGGAAACGTACAGCTCCTTGGTTTAAATAAAAGTGCATTTAATGCCCATTGGAGGCTGCTGGGGCTGGCAGAGGACTTCTGAGCAACGCCACCCACTCGGCCGTGACATGGGCGACAGGTACATGCAGGCAAGAGGTTCCCGCCGTCCCCCCAGACCAAAGGGTGGTGTTGGAGTTACTGTTGGGGTGTCAGCTGTCTGAGAGCGCCTTGGTAACCCAGAGCCACTGGACACAGCTTTTTGTGAGGGTACAGCAAGGCATGCCCCAGAATCCTGGCACTGTTCCCCCAGTAAGCATCGGGAAGGAGCTGCTGCTGCTGCCAGCTCTGTCCTTCAACCACTTGCAGCCCAATACAATCACAATTCCCTCACAAAGGGTCTCACTGTCCCAGAGACTGAGAGGGTGGCAGAGAAGATACAGCCAGACCCATCTCAGAGGTGCACAGCAAAGGGACAAGAGGCCGCAGGTACAAGCTGCCGTAATGGACGTTCCTGTCGCACACACAGAAAAACCTCAGCCCTGGAGGGTGCTGCAGCCCTGTGACAGGGCCCACAGGGCCGGGGGGGCTCCATCATTCCCACACGCCTGGCTCTGACTGTGGGGTGCCCTGGGGCAAGTGTTGGGGCCCCCACCCCAGCTCTGACTGTGCCTGTCCAGCCATGCCTCATAATTCATTGCCTTTACTGTGCAGAAGAGCAGCTATGCCGCCAGGCTGGCTCTCTTGCTGACTGCCCAGTAATTTTTTTCTCACAACGGCGGCTTTCTCTGCAACAGCTCCCACGTCTGTGGCTGTGGGCTGGCAGCAAGTCAATGCATCCCTGTGTGCATTGCTGCGCAGTGCGGGAGCAGTGCCCAGCTCTGGACGCCCCTGCTGCCATTGGTGCCGCGGGCACTGCGGCAGGGCCCAGGGCTCCCCGCCCCTGGCCATAAGAAGCCAGCGAGTCCCCAGCTGCACTGCGCTGCTGTACCACAGCCCCGCTGCCGGCAGGGAGGTGAGAGGGGCTGGGGGATGCTGGGGCAGGCACTTGGCTGCTGTAGCGGGGGGGCTGCTGCCGCAGGAGGGGTGGCACGGGGGGCACAATGGCAACTCTGAGCTCTGCCACTGCAGCAGAGGCCAGCGGGAAGCTGAAAAGCTCCTCAGACTCATGGGTGGGAAGCGGACAGTGCCACTGGCACTTAGCTCATCCTGGTACAGGCAGGGCAGGAAAGCATGCAGAGGGCTGTTAGGATACAGGTGTGAAGTGCTTCAGGAGTATTTCCTACCTGACAGGAAACAGTCTTGCAGTTTGGACACTGACTGCTGCATGGGGGAGGGCGTCAGCCCGTCAGCTGTGGGATGAGATTCAGTGCCTTCGGCATTGGGCCTTGAGGTGGTGAAACAGGAGCCAGGCTGCAGGGCAGGAGACATTTATCCATGGTGTATGAATTAACCGAGTACCAGACAAGAAGATGTTTTTTTTTCCCCAGCGTCAGTATATTCAACAGCTTTTGGGAAGGTGGTTTTGCATCTCTCCCTTTTCCATCAGTGTCTTTTTGGTCTGTCTGTTTGTGAAATCTGCAGGAAATGCTGCAATCCCAAGTATTAACATTCCTGAGAGGTTCTCCAGATCAAGCGAAGGAGGAGGGAGGTTAGAGATGTGCTTATTTTGTCCCACTGGCACTGATCAAAACTGCTTCCTGCCTGGGTTACCCCGACTGCTCAGTTGGAGATAGACCTGCAGGCAAGAAAGGCAGAGGCGAGGGTGCCTGTGACGGAGGGGACAGCAAAACCTTTTCTGAAACTCCAAGTGTAGAAATGAAACCCCTACTTGCCCCTTTTCCATGCAAGGAGAACAAAGCAATGGGTTAAACTGAAGGAGCCAAAGCAGAGGTGAAGTGACAACAAGCTGACTGCTAGCCAGATCTGCACAGACCGAAAATGCAGGAGCACCTTGCTGGTAGCCACCAGGGCTTTGCAGCCTCTCCTTGTTTTCCCTCCTACGCTCTGAACACACAGACACCTAAGGTGCCAAACTCACATCAGTCCCAGGGGATGTACCAGCTCCCAGCATGCGCCAGTCTTATACTGGGCACTCTTTGTGTTGTGGTTCTTCTCTCCTTGAGAGGTCCCAGAGACAGAGCCAAGGTCTTTCAGGATCCTCCTCCCTGAAGCAGAAGCTGCCCGCAGTGCTTTTCAGCAGCATGTTTTGAGCACAGGGCCTGGCGTTGCTGATGCATGGGGGGAACCTGGGGGTGGCCGAGCCTGCAAAGCAAAATGCGTCGCTGGAGCTTGGCCAGGCTAACGCACCCCCCCACTCCCTCTGACCTCAGGGCCACGCTGTGACCATGTCTGAGCTGGAGAAGGCCATGATTGCCATCATTGATGCCTTCCACCAGTACTCAGGGAAGGAAGGAGACAAGCACAAGTTGAAGAAATCAGAACTGAAGGAGCTAATTAACAACGAGTTGACTCATTTCCTCGGCGTAAGTATCGCCCACTGTGCAGCATGCCTAGCTGGGTTCAGGGAGCCGTGTTGAGCAGCTGCCAGGCTCTGCTCACTTGGTCTCCCATGGGAAGCAAGCACAGGATAAGAGATTTAACACATCAGTGTATTAAAAACTTTGCTCCAGCTCCGCTTGAGCAGCAGGTAGCAAGACAACAGCCTGCACTGGGGGCTGGGGATTGGGTTGGACACTAGGGAAAATTACTTCCCTGGGAAGGGGGTGGGGGGCAGCCTTTCCCCAAGGGGCTCAAGATGTCCCTTCCAGGCAGCACAGTGGTGGCTGCAACTCCTGCTTCAGGAGCGCTGCTGCTGCACTGTTACTACTGCAGGTGCAAGGCAGTGGCCCAACACAGATGGGAAACAGCCACAAGGTATTTGGGATGTGTCTAAATAGAGATTCAGCCATGAAAGCACCTGAGATGCGGTGACATGTTAGTGTCTGCGCCTCCCTCTGATCCTCCCTAGCTTTGGCTGCCTGTTTCTATCCCTTCAGGAGATCAAAGACCAGGAGACTGTGGACAAAGTCATGGAGGCGCTGGACAGTGATGGGGATGCAGAGTGCGACTTCCAGGAGTTTGTAGCCTTCATTGCAATGGTCACTGCTGCTTGCCATGAGTTCTTTGAGCATGAATGAGCTGGTGGGAAGCAGGCGAGCACCTCCTTCTCATGCTGGAGAGATGCAGAGCAGCATCACTCCTCCAGGAAAAAGACTGGGTGTGATTAGGGGCTCCTTGGAGTTAAGCTTGTGCTAGACTTAAGCAGCTTATTAAGTTCTGCGACTTTGTGAACAAGAAACACTTGCACAGCTCAAGAAAGACTATCAGCCAGTGCCCACCTGGCTGGATATGGTGTGCAAATGCCTTGTCTCAAGCTCCTTCACTGCTGCTGTATGCGAGGGACATGCACGGGGCTGGAGGCAGGCAGATGCTGAGATCCAAGCTTGCTTGCAAAGGGAAAAGGGAAATTCAAGGGCTGAAATAGAAAGATTATGGTGGAGGGGTTGGTTACAGAAGCCTGGTTCTGAGCCTGCTGACCTGAACAGAAAGGCTCCTGTTGACTCCTGTGGGCTCTGACCACCCTGTGCATGGTACTAACCCAAGCAGCACAGCCCCTGTCCTGTCACAGGGGCTCAGGAGAGCCCAAGCATTTCTTGACAAATTGAGACACCCTTGGCTTGAAAGACAATGCATAACCATCTAACAGTCCAGGCTTTTCTCTTGTTGATGAATCCTCCTGCTTTTAGCAGCCTGAAGAACTGGTAGTGAAATGTATGAGGCTTCTGGGCTAGGGACAGCTTCTGGACCTGGCATGTGCCTTGGCAAGGTCTCCAGGCTCAGTCAGAAGGGAAGGGGGGATCCACCCAGCGTGACCACAGTGCTTTAATGTAGACCAGGCACGGCCTCCAGTGTGTGGAAATGATGAGAATAAAATCCTGTTTTGGTCTCTGGGCTGCAATTGGTCTCTGGTGAAAAATGTGTCCTTTTGTCCCAGGCTGTGCAGCTCCCCAGCTGCCCTGCACTGTCAGAGGTGGAGGCTGGAGGATGCAGCCTGAAGCACTGCTACAGCTCATGCCCCTGGGTTTCTTGTTGGTCATTGATCAAAACTTCATCTCCTCCCTGGAATTTTCTCCCTGGCTGGCCAAACATCTCTAGGCTGTTACCACCACCGCTGCTCCACCTGACTGTCCAAACCGGGAGATGTACCTGCAAGGCCAGAGGAGTGCAATGGGCCTCCCTGGGACTGCTGCTGTTCAGGATGTGGCTGCTGCTGCCAGGCTCATCCAGGGGCTTGCACTGGGGAGCCTTTGCAAAGTCAAAACTAAACCTAGGACAATTTCCCCAAAGCCTATGTTCCTGCTTTTTTCACTCTGCACTTGCCACCCAGCTCAGCAATAACTGTGCTTAGGTGTTCATGGCTAGCAACACCTACGGTGAAAAATCCATAACAAAGATACCTGCTCATGTTGTTTTTGTTTTCACCTCATTCCACATTTTCTAATTACTTCATGTGTAAAATAACGTATCTTCGGACAGGGACCATCTGCCTCCCTCAAGCTGTGAAAAGGTACACTCAGGCAGAGACATGCCTACAAGAAAGACAGCATCTTGTACTCCAACTAGAATTTAAAAAAGCATTTTTGCCATCTCAGAGTAGTGCTCATGTGTTGAGAAATTGTTTAGCATCTGTGTTACTTCCACATTTTTAACAACCTCATCAGTTCTTGGTTCATCTGTTCCCAACAGTTGCACAGACCTGAAGTAGCGTAGATGGGACTCTCATGACTCTCTCCTGAGCCTGAATCTGAGTTCAGCAGAAGGGTCTGATGCTTTAGTACAAGGGTCTGCTGGTGAGGCTGCCTGGCAGGTCTCCAAGTCTCAACCTCCTTCTGCCTCACTACCCCAGCAGTGCTCACAGGGAGGAGGAACCCTTCCCCCAGACCAAGCTTTTTCAGCAGCTCTGCACAGCACCGCAGCAACAAAGAGCTGCAGGTGAAACAGGTGGCCTGAACACTGGCAGAGCCAGCGAGATGCAGAGCAGGTCACCCTGTCCCTCGGTGAGCAGTGAGAGCCAGAGCAGGGAGTGACTTGGTATGACTGCGCACATGTTTCTGGCAGTAAGGCTGATCCTGACTTAGCAACACCACTGCTGGGAATTTACAGAGGCTTTCCCTGGCACAGGAGAAGGTGCAGCAGAGCTGCTGCCTCTTGTCAGGGAGGAAGAGAGTGTGCCTTCCTTTGAGGTGAGCACCCTGAGTGCCAGTGGTGCAGCATGTGCTGTTCAAGTCAGCAAGGAAGGCTAAGCTTTCCTGAAGCGAAATTCCAGAAACAGAGGCTGCGTGGTTACAGGCCCCAGTGTCACCTAGTCTGGACTGCAGCTCTGCTCCCGTTATGTCCTGCTGCTCTTTGACACAGGTGGTGCATCAGCTGATCATTGCCAAATTGTCTCCATTCACTTACTAAAGTTATCAGCTAATAAAGTTGCCAGTGAAATCGTTTCTCCAAGCCATTCTCTTAAGTCATTGCCATGACTGGACCCACCCTGTGGCTCTGCCAAGCAGAGACCTGCTCTTCCACTGGCCTGCAGGCTCTAGGGGAATTCAAGACATTCACCCACCTCGTAACAAGCCCTGTGGGACAAGACAGGGATGGCCACCCGTGGGTGAGGCAGGCAAAGCAGTTTGAGCAACACTAGCCCAAGCACTGAGTTGTCTGAGGTGCCTCTGCTGACAACTCACCACCAGCACAGCCACCTCGCATGCACAGGCACAGCCACCCATAGCACCTCTGCTAACACCCTGGGTCACCACTGTACCAAGCTGCTGTGGCCAGCCTAGAAAAAGGATGTTGTCATGCCAACAAGGGGTTTGAGTAATGTTTTGAGGGGCTCAGAAGTGTGGTGATATTTTCTGGGGAAAAAAAATAAAATCATTCAAGCCTTGGGGCTGATCAAGGAGCCAGCATCAGAGCTCTGCAAGGCAGACATCACAGCTGGCTCCGAACAGGCTCAAAAAGCTCAAGCAACAACTCACTAACCTCCCAGCAACAACAGGCTACATACTTAAAAGAGCCAGTCCTGGTTATTGGGCTCGGGAAGGAACCGTTCAGTCTTCAAGAAGGGAAGGTGATAGGCTGATGACATTATTAAATATTTAATTTTTAGTAATGCTCCCATCCCCGCCAACAGAATCAGCCTGCTGGAAACACAAGGCATGTGTGTGCTTACAACACCTCACTGGCACTGGTTAGCTTGACCTGATCACCGAAATATCAGAATATTTCGACCACTGGATCTATCGATTACTGGAAATATCAGAAAATCCACATTTCTGTCATTAGTGCAGACTGGCATGTGACAACCTGCAGAAAGGCTGGTTTGGTAACAGGGAGCTCTGGGGTCTGTGCTGTGGGACCCTCAGGGCCCTGGCGGCTCCCTGCGGACGAAGCAGAAGCATTACACTAGCAGTGCCTACCTTATGCTTGGACACATCTGTCAGTTACGCTTTTTGACTCTGTACAGAAGAGGATGCAAGTGAATTTCCCACCAGGAAGGGCACCAATTGATGGTTTCTTACATGAAATGAGCTGTCAGGACAAGAACTATTTATCAACAGTACTAAAAGTGAAACAAAAAGAAGAAAGTACACCAACAGGAGGAGCCTGAGGCATTTAACAGACTCAAATTAACTTTGCAAACTAGGAAAGTGACAGATGGGGGCAGACTTAGTACATACATATTGTACTGTACCTCTGCTGAATTACATTTTCATATATGTATGAAGGAGGATCAACAACACAATTTTATATTAAAATGCCGCCATTACTTCTTGCTCTGGGAGATCGGAATATGCACTTTTACTCTCTGCCCAGATAATTTCAGGCAAAGCACATGTGTGAAAGGGAATCCTCTCTCTGCATCAGACACAAAATTACTAGCGTTGGAAGAGCACTTACAGACCCCTACAAAAACTCTTCCACATAGCATGTAATTTTTCTGGGAGTGCAAATTATTGCTGTTAGCATATCTAAACAAAAAATTCATCTTGTTAACTATTGACAGAAGTGCATTCAGGCTGAATCAGTCCAATACCAGACTTCATGTGCTGACAGCAAGAAAAATAATTAATCTTAAAAAGAAAACCAGAGTATGTTTTTTCCACAAATCAAGTGCGGACTTTTACAGACCTCGGGGAATGAACATTCCTGACCTGGTTGGATGGAGGAAAGCAATTGCGCAGACAAAGCACTGTGCCCCTGGGCTGTGTCTCCCGCATGTTGGGAACTGCGAGCTGCACAGAGAGGTTCTTCTTCCAGCCGGGCAGTCTAGGGACATGGAAGTACATTCCTGCTCCCTCTTGCACATTCAGCTGAAAAATACATTTCAAAAGAAAGCGGCAGCATTTCTGTGAGTGAAATGTGGATTGAATTTTTTCCCCCTGCCCGATATTAAATCTAAAGTATTTGCCTAGCCTTACTTACTGTACTGCAACACTCAGGGAATTAGAGCATATTTTCAGTTTTTCCATTCTGAAATATTCTTGACGCTGGATTTTACTGTACAAAGTCTGACTTCATCCTGCATCCCGAACAGTATGGACTTCCCATTGCAGGGGGAAGGCAGCTGACAGAGCAGGAAACTAGAAGACCAAAATGGAAAGCTTTTTAAACAAAACAAAATAAAACACCTCCAAAACTATTAAGGAGAAACATAAAACTGATCTTTAGAAGGCCACTTTTATATATTCTTGCCACTGAAATTTTGATTCTGCATGGAGACATACCATGTTACAAGTATAGACACAATCACCATGGCACTGTCATCCACGTTTGGCAGAGAAAAATGCCAGAAATAAAGACAAATCATTACTTTGCACTTACCTTTGCAAGCTAAATTTTAAGGAATGCTAGAAAATTAGGAACTGTTTTTCATTTCCATAAGCAAACTTTTATGTTTAAGTGAGAATAGGATTAAAAGAAAAAAAACATAACCGGAAGAAAAGATAGTGGTGCATATTATTTTAATAACCTGTACTGAAATACAAAAGAAGATAGAACTCTGCTTATATGGCACTGACATAATTGAACTGGAAATAAAGCCCAGTGTGTCTAGCTCCTTCTAAACAACACGATTGGTCACAAAACAAAATCTCAATACTGCAGCAAAAATTTACATTAGAATTTGTCATGACAAGAAACGCTGGCTTAGAAACATCTCATTTGAAATATCTGACCATGTAAATGTTTAAAGTGTATTAACCAACTGAATATAAACATCAGTTCAACAATGTTATACCTTAGTATATCCAGCTTCAGGTAAATTCTGAAGTGCAAAAAGTTAGAGAATTATTCAATGCATTTTGTTAGCCGTAAATCGGTTCTTACACGTAATCCAGCTCTATCATGTACTAATGTAATTTCTGGCCTGATATGCTGCAATGTTTTAAATGTGCAAGCTTTCAGAATTCCTTTTTTGGCCTTCACAGAGTCACGGAATCATCTCAGTTGGAAAAGCCCTTGAAGCTCCTCCAGTCCAACCATGAACCTCACACTGACCGTTCCCAACTCCACCAGATCCCTCAGCGCTGGGTCAACCCGACTCTTCAACCCCTCCAGGGATGGGGACTCCCCCCCTGCCCTGGGCAGCCCATTCCAACACCCAACAACCTCTTCTAGGAAGAAATGCTTCCTAAGAGCCAGTCTGACCCTGCCCTGGTGCAGCTTGAGGTCATTCCTTCTTGTCCTATCGCTTGTTACTTGGTTCAAGAGACTCATGCCCAGCTCTCTGCACCCTCCTTTCAGGTAGCTGTAGAGGGCGATGAGGTCTCCCCTCATCCTCTTCTCCAGACTAAACCCCCCTCCCAGTTCCCCCAGCCGCTCCCATCAGACCTGTGCTCCAGACCCTGCACCAGCTCCGTTGCCCTTCTCTGGACACACTCAAGTCATTCAATGGCCTTTTGGGAGAGAGGGGCCCAAAACTGAACCCAGTCATTGAGGGGCAGCCTCACCAGTGCCGAGTACAGGGGTGAGACCCCTTCCCTGTCCCTGCTGGCCACGCTATTGCTGATACAAGCCCTCAGCACAGTCTCCCATAGAAACCAAAACCAGAAGTCTATCCAAAAAGATCCTTAAAGTGCATAATATGTGTTTTCACACATTGGAAAGGAAATAGCATTAAAAAAATCAGGGACTTGGTACAGAAAACTAGGAATGTACACTTAAAATGAACTCACTGCTTCCTTTTTGCTGCTATAATAAATTCCTGGGTAACAATAAGCATTAACTAATGGCATAAAGTAGCCTCATTGTACTGTGGCTAGAATGACATGAAGCTTATAAAAAAAGTCAGTACGAAGTGCTGGCTCACAAAGAACGCTGCTGCAATAAAGGCAGTTTTATTAATGTTTATGAAGTTATTTAGTACTCACTGGAGTCTGACCTCACACCCCAGAATAAATCTGAAACATTCTGCTTCCCCAGCAACTCTGCTGAGGCATCTTGACTCACTCCTCAGCATGGTGACTGGCCAGTGAACCAGCTACAGTAACATATTAATTCAAAAAGACATTTTACATTCCCAAATGACAAGGTAAAAAAAAATTCTTGTGCCTTTACTACAACCTGGAATTTCAGATGTCAGACACATTTAATTTAAGATGAATTACAGATTTTTGACACCTGTCTTCATTAATTTTGAGAGAGTTAAATTGCTTTGGTGGCAAAATAAAATTTGGCAATAAAACCTGCTGTACTTCAAATGCAGTTCATACACAGCATTATCTCGATGCTAAGTACAATGTCTTTTTGTGGTTAACAGCGAGAAAACCAAAAAAGGCTCAAAGATGCTATGGCTATGTACAGTGCTTTTAAAAACACATTGTGTTTTGCAGGATAAATTCCTGCTTGTTTCCTAACCCACTGTTGGTACAAATCTGTTTTCTGTAGGTGCACCACCTCTCTTGTCTTTTCAAACAAAAACTCTGCCTTCATTTAAGAGGCTACAACTTAATTTATTTCCACACACAGAGAAGCATTCCTCTTTCAATCTGGGTAAAAGCAGGCGCTTTTGTCAGGAACCCCCTAGGAGTCTGTCTTAGAAAATGCTGCTGATATGAAACAAAACCACAGGGGCCCATGAAGCGGGTGGAATCCCCCTGTAACTACCCAGTGTTCTGCATGCCACACCAACTGCAGGGAGCCTCGGTAGACCTTTACATATCTGCTGTGCCCCAGAGAAGCGTTTGCATGGAACCTCACGTCAGAGAATGAAATATGCTCTGGAATGGCACTGGTGCAACGTGTCATTTTTTTCTGATGAAAATTAAACCAGACACTCAACCTCCATGAGGCATGCTGCAGAGGGCCAGGAACAGTTCTTATTTTAGCAACTTCTACAGCCTTTCTTCCTGCTGCTGCTTTGGGTCAGCCTGGTAAGGTTGCTCAACACTGTTATCTCGGTGTTGCTGTTTCTGCTCCTGCTTCTTCTTTTCAGTCAGTGCTTTTGCTCTGGTGGTCATTGGCCTGTGTCTAGCATCAGGCCTCTCTTCATCCTGCTGGTGCTTTTTGCAATGTTTTTCAAAGGTAGAAATTTTGGCATATGTCCGGTTGCAAACCAAGCAGTGGTACGGCCGCTCCCCGCTGTGTGTTCTCATGTGAAGCTGGAGGTAAGATGACCTGGAAAAGGCCCGGCTGCAGACTGAGCAGCGTTGAGGCTCGCGTGCCTCATGGGTCTTCAGGTGCTGCTTGAGGGATGATGCCTGCTTGAAGGCCTTCCCACAGGTGGAACACTTGAAGTTCCTCTCGCCCGACTCAAGAAGCTGATGCGACACGAGGTGGGCGGAGGAGCGGAACTTCTTCCCGCACTTGTCGCACTTGTAGGGCCGCTCCCCGGTGTGCAGGCGGACGTGGAGGACCAGCCCGGCCTTCTGCGTGAAGGCCTTCTCGCACTGCAGGCACTTGAAAGGCCTCTCGCCCGTGTGCATGCGGCGGTGAGTGGCGAGGTGCGAAGCGCGCCCGAAGAGCTTGCCGCAGTCCTCACACTTGAAGGGCCTCTCGCCAGTGTGGATGGCCTTGTGGCGCACCAGATGCGAGGACTGGAGGAAGAGCTTCCCGCAGACGGGACACTGGTACTTGCGCTCACCTGTGTGGGAGCGCAGGTGGAGGGCGAGGTGCGACGAGGAGATGAAGGCCTTGCCGCAGAGAGGGCAGGCGTGGGGCCGCTCCCCGGTGTGGGTGCGCTTGTGCAGGACCAGCCCCGAGGAGAGGGCGAAGGCCTTGGCGCAGACGGGGCAGCGGTAGGGCTTCTCGCCGGTGTGGACCCGGCGGTGCTTGGCCAGGGCGCCGGCCTGCGTGAAGGCCTTCCCGCACTGCTCGCACCCGTGGGGCCGCTCC